TGGCCCTTCATGAAAGCCGAGCTAGACCAAGTGCTCAACAAATCTGCTTCAGTTTTCCGCTGTCTACTGCATGGGTCGGTATGCCCCGAGCCGGCTGCTGTGTTTATCTAAGCGGTTTGTTTTTTTCATCCTACACCAACCATGAACATGATCTCTGCAGAGCTCCTGAATATGCTTCTGTGTTTCAGGTTGTCCATATCGCCTCAAAACCGCCTGAGGCAGCCTTGTTTGGCTTGAGGATATTGCAGCTCTGAGGTGCATTAGCATTCAGCTAATAGCACAAAACATGTTAACAGCTTCTGTTTTCTGATGTTTTCTGTTGTAGAACTTTATCCCCCAGTTCACGCGTTCTGTGTTCCCTCGTTCACACTGTTTTAGAATGTTTTCCCCATATATGCTGTTCTAGAATGTATTCCCTTATTAACTCTGTTTCAGTGTTCCCCATCATTCACACTGTTCTAGAATGTTCTCCCCATTCACACTACTCTAGAATGTGTTCCCTCATTCATGTTGTTTTACAATGTTCTCCCCATTCACACTGTTCTAGATTGTTCCCCCTCATTCACACTGTTCTAGAATGTTCTGCCCATGCACACTTGATCTATAGTGTGTTTTCTTATTCACACGTATTCTCACACGTTCTCACATATTTCAAAATGCCCCCCCTCATTCATACCGTTTCAGAATGTTCCCCCTCATTCACACTGCTCTAGAATGTGTTCCATTATTAATGATGTTTTATAATGTTCTCCCCTTTCATACTGTTCTAGATTGTTCTCCTTTGATCACACTGTTCTAGAACTTTCTCCCCCATTCACGCTGTTGTAGAATGTTCTTCCCCATTTATACTGTTGTAGAATGTTCTCCCCTTTCAAGCTGTCACATTGTGCTCCCCCATTCACGCTGTTCTAGAATGCTCTCCTCATTCACACTGTTCCAGTAGGTTCTTCCCACTCAGACTGTTCTAGAATGTGTTTCCCTATTGATGCTGTTCTTGATTGTTCTCCCTATTTGCACTGCTCTAGAGTGGTCTTTCCAAATTTATGCTCTACTGGGATGTTTCCCTCATCAGCAATGTTCTAGAATGTTTTCCCATTTGCACTGTTCTAGAATGCTCACCCTCATTCTTACTGTACTCCCCATTCCTACTGTTATATAATGTTCCCCATCATTCAGGCTGTTTTAGAATGTTCTTCTCCATTCACACTGTTGTAGAATGTTTTTTCCCCATTTACACTGTCCTAAAATGTTCCCCCATTCAAGCTTTATGCTCTTCTAGAATGTTCTCTCTCATTAACAATGTTCTAGAATGTTTTTCCCTTTTGCAGTTGTAGAATACTCACCCTCACCTATACTGTACAATAACGCTTCCCTATTCATGCTGTTCCAGAATGTTCTTCTCCATTTGCAGTGTTCTAGAATGTTCACCCCAATTGATACTGTTTTCCGATGTTCTTCCAGACCATTCTAGAATGTGCTTCCCCATTCACACCGCTCTAGAAATTTCTTCCCCATTTATACTGTTTAGGTATATTCTTTATTTGCCATGTTCTAGAATGTTCTCACTGATTTCTCACCCAATTTGCAATGTTCTAGAATGTTCGCCTCATTTATACCTCTCTAGAATATTCTTCCCATTTAAAGTGTTCTAAAAGGATCTCCCATTCACTATTCTAGAATGTTTCCCCAATTCACACTGTTCTAGAATTTTCTCCCCATCTACGCTGTTGCCCTCATTCACACTGCTCTGGAATATTATTCTCCATTTATACATTTCCAGAAGGGTCTCCTTCATTTGCAGTGTTTTGGAATGTTTTCCCCATTCATGCTGTTCAAGAGCATTCTCCCCATTTATTGTTTGAGAATGTTCTCCCCATGTTGCAGAATGTACTCTTCATTCACACTGTTCTAGAATGATTCCCCTTTGAATACTGACCATTTTGTCTGCCAAAAACAGTAGTTCCAGAAGAGTAAATCAATTAATCAGACCGTCAGACGGAATTTCCTGTTGTCTATTCTAGAACAGAACCAAGCTGAACTTCCACCGTAGAACTCGGATGTGTTTTACTGTGTTTTATTTTTCACTGGAAATTCAGTTTATGGTAGCCCTCAAAAAGCTCTAAGCTTCAATTAAGTTCTCTTCAGTCTTCAATTCAGTTCTTTTTAGCATCCATACAAGTCACCCTGTTAGTCTACGTTCTGCAGTGTTGTTTGGGAATTTGTTGGCTCTTTGAGCTGTTTCTTTGAGGTGAACCCTGGGAGTGGACGTTGAATAGCCAATATTTTATTTGGTAAATTGAGACAAAACAATTGGAAAGATCTAATGACACTGTGGATTAAAGTCCCCCCTTCTGGATCTCCTTGGACCACTCTGGCTCTGCCTTGTCATTATCCTTAGACCTGCTACCTGTTGTGTTTGTCTCAGGTGTTGTTCTTGCTGGTTTAAATGTAATTCTTAGCTCGTTGGATCTTCTGATCTTTGATTTTTAACTGTCTTTGTTGATGACTGGTTGATGGATTATTGTTAATCAGTTCATTAGAAAGAAGATTAAGGCTTTATTGGAAATTAAATGACTAACTTGGCTAATTTTGAGAAGAACAACTGACAATGCTGCTAACAAACGTGACTCACTGAAAAGAGCTTGAATGCCCATCTTCGGTTTACATCTACTGGCCAGCTGGCTCAGGTGGAATGGGTGGACATACTGAGAGAGAGGATGGGGCACATCAGATTTAGGATGTCCATTGTTTGGACAGGAATGTCCTAGTGACGTATGCAAAAGTTTTGGCACATTTTATATTTTATGTTTTATTTTTTCCAATATGATGAACTCAGCATATAAATAGAAGCTGTGCACTAAAATATGCAGAAAAATGCCATATTTCTGTGTAATTTGACTGGGGGTTTTTCACCCTTTTACACACAAGTAAAATTTAGACCCTTCTGCCCTTCGTTTATCCAGCGGACTGCCACCATGCTATACAGTCAGTGATCCTGTTTCAGTGTGTCATCTGCTGCACAGTAATTGGGTGTAAAACAGGTGGTGCGGTGTTGACACAAAGAAAAGCATTTGAAAAATGTGCTGCCACAAAGCCAGCAGCCTGCTGGTTTACTTAGACCTTTAATCACACTTCTGTCTGATAAATGCAGGATCCAAACATAACCATGCACTGACTGACCTGAGCCAAAGGGAGCAATCAGAAAACACCAGTGCACAATCCTTAACACAGTTAAAGGGAAATGCCACCAATTGTAAAAAGTTTCTGTTTAATTCAGTGATCAACATGTAAACAAGGTCAGTCAGAGTGGTTTGATGTCAAATGCTCCATTCTAAAGAAGTCAGAATTGTTCACAGTGGTAACAGGAAGGAGAGGTTGTACTCACTATTTCACTGGTGGTTTTGGAAAGTAAATAAAAGGGCTGTATTTGTGTTGTAGACACTGTGACACCTGGTTTCTATCACCACCACTGTAAAGAAATCTAAGTCTGTATGTTTCTCTACACAAAACCATTCCACAGCAAATCACTCTGAATAACTGTTTACATCTCCAAAATTGAGTTATGCAGAAATTTTAAAAATCAGGTGTAATTCTCCTTTATTTCCCAAAACTGCTTCAAGAACACTGTAAATTATCTAAGAAAGATGAAAACTGAACTCTCATGCTAATGTTGGCATGCTTGTGCAAAGTAAGTAAATCCACACTAAACATTTACACTGGGTTACTCAGGGGAATTCCACCAATTTTTCAAAATTTGGTCTGATAGAAAATGTTTCGTTGTAGATAAACTTACCAACTTACTGACTAATTTACTGTGGTGGTGATAGTAACCAGGGGTCGCAATGTTTCCAATGCATATAAAGCCATTTTAATTTTATAAAATCTTTCCGAAAACAATAAGAGAGCCTACAAGCATCTCCTGAGCTTTTATATGCAATGTTGATAATGGTGGTATATCTGAAAAAAGGAATTTTTGGACTTTTGTAACTGTTTTGTCACCTTGAATTTCCCCCTTTGCCACAAACAGATTCAAAAATACGTTTTTCAGCGTAAACTTTCTCAAAATTATCAGAAATAATTATTAGGCTTCAGACAGCATATTCTAACGATTTCATGTAATAACTTTCTGTGAGGAAGTTTATAGAGATACTAAAGTCTTTAGACGTCTGGTTCCTATCACCACCACTGTGAACAATTCTGACTCTGTAAGCTTCTCTAAAATGGAGCACCAAACTACTCTGGATGACTTTACATCTCAACCCCTTAACAATCCAGACTTATTACATACAAGGGTTTATAACTACAGGGAATTCAATGTAAACGAATGGAGCTATTCTTAGTTTGTAAAGTGTGTTATAATACTTTGGGCCCACCGACGGGCCCCATGGCTTGTCAAGGGGTTAAACATTTAATTATACAAAAATAAATAAATAAACAGTGAAATTTGCGTTTACATCTAAGCAGTCTGGTAAAAACAAGCCCCGCCCAGTGTGCTAGGATTGGCTAGTAGTTTATATTCACTCTCCAGTAGAACTGTGCATGACAGAGGCAAAAACTGTAGATATGATATTAAATAAGTTTTTAATTTTAGTCTCTTTTTGTACATCAAGTTTTTTTAGAAGTAAACTCTCTGATTTCATTTTAAATAATTCAAATTATGTTGTTTGCATAATAGTAATAATAGATTGTTATGAAGATTCTAGTTGAATTATATATACACTTTTGATAAATATAGATATACATTGTATATAATTCTTGCATTGCTCTTGTAATTTATTTTTAAAATTCATTTTTAAAATGTATTTTTAAAAATCATTTATTCATTCATCGCTTATTCATTCAAAACTGCTCGTTGTGACTGTATTACAGACGTAGTTCTTATTGGTTAAAAGTTTAATTATTAAAAAAAAGGTCTGCCGTACTAGCCAATCCCAGCGCACTGGGGGGCGTGGCTTGACTCAATACGGGTGTGAAAAACTCCGCCTCTCTCCACACACATTTTAAAACTCCGCGATGGCGCTGGAATCACACCTGCCCCCTTTTTCTGACCCTCGTAGTTGCCCCAGCGCGTGCAGGACCAACATGCCCAGCAGCAGTAACAGCGTCCCAACTCAGCTGAAGCAGAAGAGCAGCACGTGCGCGGATCTGTAGTGGTTTGTGAAGGATGGCAGTGCTGCTGGCTCTCTGCGCTGCGGTTTGCTGCTCTGCTCTCCAGACTGTGGGCGTCAAGCTTTACTCCAACAGATACGAGGGGTGAGTAAAGACCTCCATTCATTTCTTCCTCTGTGCCATTAGCTGCTGAGAGTGGAAGTAAGTGTGCACGCTGTGAAGGAATGAGCTGCACTTAACGTTCATTCGTGTAATGTGCGTGTGATTCAGCTAACTAGAGGGTAGAGCAGCCTCAGCCATTAAAAGGTCCATATTCTACATTTTTCTGCCCCCCCCCCAACCGAGGTCTACTGATGTCACTTGAGAGGGGTTTGTGTGCCAGATAGAGTCATAATTCATTTTTACATGATGCTTTTCCAACCTCTCTTTTAGGGGTGGGCGATATGGCAAAAAGATTATATCACAATACTTCAAGACATTTTCACAATACACAATTTTTTTTGAGATTTAATAAGCTGGAATGGACAAAATAGACCTTGTAATGGCACTTATAAAGAATACTGTAACAAAACTATGACTACTACTACTACTACTACCACTACCACTAATAATAATAATAATAATAATAATAATAATAATAATAAACCTACAACTACAATGATTTTTATTCAAATCCAAACAGGCCTAATTATGCGCACTTTGTAATGAAACATGTACTTGGTCAGTGTTTTTTAATTACTGACGATATCTATAATATGCTCACAAACCCATATTATGACAAAATTTATTACGATAATGATAACATTGCCCACCCAGACTCTCTTAATCCCTTAGAATAAACATAAAAAAGGACCTCCGTTCTAGCTTGATGTTCTGCATTGCGCCTCGTTCAAAAGCAGTCCAGGCTAAAACTTCAGCATGAATGGGTGGAGTTAAACTGCAGGCTGAGCAGTCGTATATATGTAAATGAGCTGTTTTTTGTGACATCATTGAATTCAAAACAAGCTGTTTTTCGTTTCACTTCGTTTCCATGTATACATTGTATGGACTGGGGAGTAAACAGTATTTCACAGATAAGTGAAAACAGATAACAGAAAAGTGAGGAAAATGAATTTTTCCCCGATTTCGGGCCCTTTAATCTAACAGAGAACTTGGCTGTGGATGGAACTGGAATGTTTTCCCTTTTTTGACTGATGGTTTGACAGCCATAATCACTTTGTTTATGAAATGTGTTTGTGGTTCAGACTGAAGCAGATGTGAAAGCAATTATCAAAAACCGTCCTGAGTGCAACATGGTTCTTAAAAAGATGGTTCTTCAAGGGTTCTTCATTAAGGGCTATGCTTCTATTTAGAACTATGAGTTCTATATAGAGGCATTTCATGTTTAAATGGTTCTAATATCTGAATTTATTGGTTTAGACTACTCTACACTCTTAAAAAAGATGGTTCTTCAAGGGTTCTTTAGTGAAGAGAATGGTTCTGTATATGTAAATAGAACCGTTCGATTTATTAAAGAACAATTGAAGAACAATCTTTTCTAAGAGTGTAGGTGAAATACTAAAGAAATGCTAAAAAAAGAGTATGGTTCTGTTTAGAACAATGAGTCCTATATAGAACCATTTCATGCAACAGTAATAAATGACACTTCCATTCCAGACCAGATACTTCAGCCATAAGCTCATAATGCAGTGAAATGCAGCTAATAAAGCAGTGAAATGCAGCTCATAAAGCAGTGAAATGCAGCTCATAAGGCAGTGAAATGCAGCTAAAAAAGCAGTGAAATGCAGCTAATAAAGCAGTGAAATGGTCTCATGAAGAATAAGGTGGATAGCATGGGGGCTGGAGTAGCTAATATCACACTGAAGAAAAGGTGTTATTACTCAAATAATGACTTGAGCAGAAGTTAAAACAGCCTCCAAAAACAACTTGAATAAAAGATAATAAGTCCAAAAAGTCCTTCAATCCTTAGTATAGAACTTATAGATCTGCAATAGAAGTTCTTAGTGCATCCACACTGACATTGGCTCAGCTCTGTTCTTCTCTTTTTGAATTATGGTCTGAAATAAAGCGCCAAAGCTCCAAAGCGAGGTGGGATCAACAGCAAAGAAGTCCAGAAAGAGAATTAAATGAATCTCAATGATCATCATTTGGAGCTACTCAGAAAAGCACAAATCCATCAAAATTGTACTTAAGTGGATGTAATTGTGTAAATATAACTACATGCTACCCATGTCTGAAGCTATCGCCCATGACATGAATGGAAAGCATTGTGTGAGATAACGCTCTACAGTTTGTCCTAACACGTTGGAATGGAAGGCACATGGGACAGCTGTAGGTTGTCACGACCGATGAACATTAGCTTCATTTATGGCATGAAAAGGCAGCTTTGCATTGGGAATATCAGTGTCCACCTGGCACTGGCTTCACTGATGAGCGTGGAGAACAGCTAATGAGAAACTGTGTATTGAATATTGCAGAACAGATGACACTAAAGGGCTCTTTGATCTGTCATGGGTTTTGCTTCTCCGCTGCTAATGAGACCAGCAGGTGGCTATTACAGTGAATGTGAAGTTTGATCTGTTATGCTTTCAGATGATGCTGGGTCATTTTACATTTTGTGTGGGTCTGTAAGTAATGACACTTTCACAGCTGAAAGACTTTGAGGTACTAATATCTGACACACAACGCACAGATGGCTGTTTTGGTTATTAACATTTCCAAAGCACTGTGCTTTAGGGAGTGCACGGGTCAGCATTTATCCCATGGGCAGCTGGTCAGGATGTCAGTGACTGAATTGATTCTGGTTTTCAGCATCATTGTGCTGTCATTAAAATACACTGAACTTTTTATTGAGCCTGTCATATTTCTTTCTGACACACCAAAAATCAACTACGATAGGAAAAACGGTAGCACAGAGAGTTCCAGTCCCATATGCTGATCCATTTTACTGACCAACATGGGCATGCAGCTCGCCAACTACTCTGGGGACAGACTGTAGCCCATTAGGCTGACCTTAAAACAGCTGTTTCTGCTTCCAGTGCTGTTCTTTGTTAATAACATGATTTCTCAGTGCTTTTTTGTGTTTTTGTTTGTTTATTTCATATGTAATGAAGGTGATCTAACAAAGCTGAACATTTTATATAATTTCATTCTACCGTTTCTGAACAATTAAACACTCAAATGGGAATATTTCATTGTTACTTTTGGGAAACAAATCAATAAAAAGCTCTTACTGATCCGAATAGTGCTCTGAATGAGCTCACTCAGAAAATGTTACAGTGCATCCAACAATAAAGGCAGCATCATGCATGTTTTATACAGTGATAGGAAACATGGTAGCACACCGAAAGCTCCAGTTCCACATGCTGATTCACAGCTTCAGATGAGTTTAAGGAGACGTCACTAAAGTCTCTGAATGGATTGCAAGTAATATGCTCTGTCTTGTTTGGGTTAATGAGTTAAAGAGGACATTGCCAAAGACTCTGGATGAATTACTGGCAAGGTTTTATGTTTTATATATTTAAAACTGGCTTTTAAATATCATCTTTTAATATTTTAATCCCTGGTTGCCACATTACATTTTCTCTTTTGAGGCATTTCCATAGAAAATCTGAAATGTGCCACATGTAGCTCATCTTTCATACCCTCTTTAACCAATTCCCTTGTATAGAATTCAACCCTTTAAATTAGTCCCATAAATACTTAGTTTCATATGACTTACTGGATAATAAGATTAAGAAGTTTATTGATGAATAATACCTAATACATTTTTCCTTTACCTTTGCCATGAATTTGTGAGCACAGGAAGGAATCTATACAGCATCTGAAGAATTTCAGAACAATAAAAAAACTTCTTTGTCCAGTTGTCAGGAAGCAATTGAAGGGCCTACAGCAGAAGTGAGAGCTGCTGGAGGAAATTGTTTGACCAACAGCATAAACACACACTCACAGAATCCACAAAGAATGTGAAGTGCTGTGACCAAAACATTCCTCAAACAGATCCAACAAACAACTAACAGGGTCGTCGTCCAGAAAAAAACATTTCCAAGATTTAAACGTGTGAAGAGATGATGTGTTATCAAACAAATGTCAAAAGTTTGTCAGATTGTACACTTTATTGTTTTTATAAGTGAAAATAAGTTAAAACATCATTTAGAGAGAACACACAATTTGGCATTTTCCTGCAGATTTTAGTGTACAGAAGAGTTTAGCATATTGGGAAAAAACATAAAATGAGCTGTAACTCTTGCACAGGCCACATTTTATGTTTCTTGATCTCTAATACGTTCATTTCAGCCAATAAATAGTAAAGATGCCAAAATGTGTTCTCTGTAGAGGATGTGTGTTAACTCCTTCATTGGCCAGGGCCCTTCGGCGGGGCCAAATTCAGAACAACTCAGCCAGTTTACATTGAAGTCCCTGTAGTTACTGACTAATAGTAGTAACTTACTATGTAATTAGCCTGGGATTTTAACTCATTTTCACTTAGCAACAACAGCATGTAATTTGACCAGGGGTGCCAAAACTTTTGCATACATATGTATAAGGCAAAGCTAGTAGCAATAGGGTTGAAGACCTTAATGAATCTTGTGCCACAGCTCCTGATGTGAGCCAGTGTTGACTTTGACTTTAGAGTTAGCGCTTGCGGTTTGTTCAAGATTGCCAAAGCAATGGTGGCCCTTTGGAGAGCTTCTACCTTTGTGCCTGGTTTCTTGTGTCCTGGCATGAAAGAGCGCTGGATAGCAAATTAAAGAAGAAAAGAGCAGAGGCCATTAAAGCAAAGCTGTAATACATGCTGTAAATCACATCAAGGTGTGAATACCCAACAGGCATCATAAGCAATGAGGGCCGACAGCTGAGAGAGAGAGGAAGTACTGTTTACAACTCTATCAACAAGGTATGTAAAGAATCAGGATCTGAGCATAATTTAGAATGAAGCAAAGGGGTACTTATTTATATTTGCTACACTCTTTAATTACTAACAAAAATAATCAATAGCATGTTTTATATCACATAACAGAATTGGCAGTTAGTGTTCTCCTCCAAGCGTGTTGAGCTGTCCATTGACGTTGGGTCCACAGGTATTGACAAGTATGGTCTCTCATACGACTCAGAAGACTGCTTGCCTTTCTTTTCATGTCTGT